AGGGGGAATATAAGACTGGGGGGGAGATAAAGGGGGGATATAAGGCTGGGGGGGATGGAAGGCGGATGTAAGATGGGGGGGATGGAGGGGGATATAAGACTAGGGGGGAACAGATGGAGGATAAAGACGGGTGGGGTGGGGGGGGTGGAGGGAGGGTAGAAGACTGGGGGGGTGTATTACTGGTGTACAGTGGTTGTGCTTTGCTCTTCTTCAGGATTGTGGACTGACCATCCTACGGGTTGTACAGATATCTGCAGACATGGTGATCCCGGGTTTGCGTTGTTTGGACCCCCGTCCTGCGGGTTGTACAGATATCTGCATTCCCGGGGTTGCGCTGTTTGGTCCCCCGTCCTGCGGGTTGTACAGATATCTGCAGACCCGGTGGTCCCGGGTTTGCGTTGTTTGGACCCCCGTCCTGCGGGTTGTACAGATATCTGCATTCCCGGGGTTGCGTTGTTTGGACCCCCGTCCTGCGGGTTGTACGGATATCTGCAGACACGCCGGTCCCAGGGTTGCGTTGTTTGGACCCCCGTCCTGCGGGTTGTACAGATATCTGCAGACCCGGTGGTCCCGGGTTTGCGTTGTTTGGACCCCCGTCCTGCGGGTTGTACAGATATCTGCATTCCCGGGGTTGCGTTGTTTGTTCCCCCGTCCTGCGGGTTGTACAGATATCTGCATTCCCGGGGTTGCGTTGTTTGGTCCCCCTGTCCTGCGGATTGTACAGATATCTGCAGACACTGCAATCCCGGGGTTGCGTTGTTTGGACCCCCGTCCTGCGGTTGTACGGATATCTGCATTCCCCGGGTTGCGTTGTTTTTGGACCCCCGTCCTGCGGGTTGTACGGATATCTGCAGACACTGCGGTCCCAGGGTTGCGTTGTTTGGACCCCCATCCTGCGGGTTGTACAGATATCTGCAGACACGGCGGTCCCGGGGTTGCATTGTTTGGACCCCCATCCTGCGGCTGAACCCCATATTGCGTCTGTCAGTCGCCATGTTGGTCTGTGTCGGCGCTGAGCGGTGCTGTTGACGTGAATTGGCGGGCCGCGGGGGATTGTGGAATGCGCACTTGTGCTCTGAGCTCACATCTGTGCAGGATACATTCATTATCCAATTACCCGGAATGTGAACGCCGAGCCGGTCCTGCTCTTCCCACTGTCTTCCAGGAGGACATTCCTGGGGTGGAAGCCTCTTCTGAGCCCCGTTGGCGTTCTCACGCCCCCCCCAGCCGGCGCTGGTTCCAGTTCCGTGATTTCTTCTCCGGCCTCTAGAGACTCAGAGGGAGTCAGGAACAGATGATGTTCCCGTCCCTCCCCCTCCATGGGGCTACCTACCTGAGCTACAGGCAAGCATCTGAACACACAGCCAGGCAGCCTGCCAATCCGCACAGCCAGGTCCCCTTTCCTTGAGACCTCTCTGCAGACTGCCCTGATGGAAGGGGGGACTCTGCTGGGGGCTGGGATGTAAGGGGGGGGGGCTCTGCTGGGGGCTATGATGTAAGGGGGGACTCTGCTGGGGGCTGTGATGTAAGGGGGGGGCTGGCTGGGGGTATAATGTAATGGGGGGGGCTCTGCTGGAGGCTGTGATGTAAGGGGGGCTCTGCTGTAAGAAGGGACTCTGTTAAGGCCCCTGATGTAAGGGGAGGCTCTGATCAAAAATCAGGAGGTGGTGGCCAGGACTGGGTGTGTCTGGGAACCTCTTTCCTATATTTCAAGCTAGGGGGTCTCAGCTGTCTAGATTATTCAGAACAGGGAGGTGGCCAGGAGTGGGTGTGTCTGGGAATCATCTCCTACATTTCAAGATTGGGGTCCCCACATATCCAGATTATTCAGAGGAGAGGAGGTGGCCAGGAGTGGGTGTGTCTGGGAATCTCTCGCCTATATTTGAACCTGGGGTTCCCAGCTATCCAGATTATTCAGAGGAGGGGAGGTGCCCAGGAGTGGGTGTGTCTGGGAATCTCTCTCCTACATTTCGAACCTGGGGTTCCCAGCTATCCAGATTATTCAGAGGAGGGGAGGTGGCCAGGAGTGGGTGTGTCTGGGAATCTCTCTCCTACATTTCGAACCTGGGGTTCCCACCTATCCAGATTATTCAGAGGAGGGGAGGTGCCAGGAGTGGGGGAATCTGTCTGGGAATCTCTCCTACATTTCGAACCTGGGGTTCCCAGCTATCCAGATTATTCAGAGGAGGGGAGGTGGCCAGGAGTGGGTGTGTCTGGGAATCTCTCTCCTACATTTCGAACCTGGGGTTCCCACCTATCCAGATTATTCAGAGGAGGGGAGGTGCCCAGGAGTGGGTGTGTCTGGGAATTTCTCTCCTAGATTTCAAGCCGGGATTCTCTGCTATCCCCAGAAGGTGGGGAGGTGGACCGGTTGATGAAGGCAAAACCCAAAGCTCTCAGCAGGGTGGGTGATGGGGGGTGGGGAGGGGGGTAGTTCCAGTATACATCCTCATTTTCAGTTTTGTCTGGAGTGCTGCTTTGGCTAGTATTTTCCTGTATGTGACCCGGGGGGGGGGGGGGGGGAGGGGGGCTCCTTCTGATTCCTAAAGCCAGATCTGGCGAGAATGGACCTGTAGGCGCAGAGCCCGCTGTACGCGCCGAGCGCGGTTCAGGGGATGAGATCACGCCCTCGCTCCGATGGAACGCCAGATATAAATTACATCTTTTTTCCTTTTTCCTCTCTTCAGCGTAGAGAAAATTCAAACAAAGAACTTTAAAAGCAGCCAAGTCTAAATGTTCTATCAAATCGCAGGAGGGATCGCTAGCCAGGCATAGTGTGCGAATCCATCAGGGTGTGCTCTTGGCAGCGCTCGGCGAGAGGCCGCCGTCCAGCCCCATTCTGATGTGAGATCGCCTTATCTGCGAGATCAACGGAGGGTCGCAGCTCCCCCCCTGCAGGATGATGCCGGCACTACGCCTGTCGGCCTGTAATTGCAGCTCGTAGTCGTTCCGGTTACATTAGATCTGTTTTCACTTTAGTTCCGACGTTTCTGCATAATCAAAGTTCATTTGTGTCCATTGTAACGGGGATGCAGTGAGGGCGCCGCTTACCGGAGGACTTTATACAGGATTTATATGGCGCCAACAGTGTGCGCTGCGTTGTACAAAATGAAGGCAGACATTACAGTTACAATACAAGTGGGCACAAGAGGAAACCGAGGGCCCTGATCCAGGGAGCTTACAATCTAGGCCAGGGGTAGGCAACCTGCGGCTCTCTAGCTGTTGTGGAACTACATTTCCCATGAGGCATTGCAACATTACAAAACTGACAGTTACATCTATGACTTGCAGAGGCATGATGGAACTTGTAGTCCTGCAATAGCAGGAGAGCCGCAGGTTGCCTACCCTGATCTAGGGGGAAGGGTTGAGTCATACAAAAGGTAATAGCTGCGGGGGGGGGGGGGGGGGGGGGGGGGGGAGGGAGGAGCTGATGGAGGAAATAAATGGCAGTTTACTAGGTAGAAGCAGGATAGGGTTCTTTAAAGAGGTTTTCATGGATCATCTAAAGGTGGATAGATTAGGAGAAAGCCGGGCAGATTGGGGTATTGAGTTCCACAGGATGGGAGAAGCTCGGGAGAAGTCCTGAAGGGGAGCATGGGAGGAGGTGACACGGCAACTAGAGAGCAGAAGGTCTTGGGAGGATCGAAGAGAGCGGTTTTGGTTGATATTTTGAGACCGGGTTGGTGATGTAGCCGGGGAGGCGGAGTTGTGGATGGCTTTGTAAGTTGTTGTTAGTATTTTGAATATTATTCGTTTGGCGAGGGGAAGCCAGTGGAGGGATTGGCAGAGAGGGGTGGAGGACACTGAATGGAGGCCAGTGGAGGGATTGGCAGAGAAGGGTGGAGGACACTGAATGGAGGCCAGTGGAGGGATTGGCAGAGAGGGATGGAGGACACTGAATGGAGGTCAGTGGAGGGGATTGGCAGAAAAGGGGTGGAGGCCACTGAATTGAGGCCAGTGGAGGGATTGGCAGAGAGTGATGGAGGACACTGAATGGAGGCAGTGGAGGGGCAGAGAAGGGTGGGAGGACACTGAGTGGAGGTCAGTGGAGGGATTGGCAGAGAGGGGTGGAGGACACTGAGTGGAGGTCAGTGGAGGGATTGGCAGAGAGGGGTGGAGGACACTGAATGGAGGTCAGAGGAGGGATTGGCAGAAAGGGGTGGAGGCCAGTGGAGGGGATTGGCAGAGAGTGATGGAGGACACTGAATGGAGGTCAGTGGAGGGATTGGCAGAGAGGGATGGAGGCCAGTGGAGGGATTGGCAGAGAGGGGTGAGGACACTGAATGAGGCCAGTGGAGGGATTGGCAGAGAGGGGTGGAGGACACTGAATGGAAGCCAGTGGAGGGATTGGCAGAGGGGTGGAGGACACTGAATGGAGGCCAGTGGAGGGATTGGCAGAGGGGTGGAGGACACTGAATGGAGGCCAGTGGAGGGATTGGCAGAGGGGTGGAGGACACTGAATGGAGGCCAGTGGAGGGATTGGCAGAGAGGGGTGGAGGACTGAATGGAGGCCAGTGGAGGATTGGCAGAAAGGGGTGGAGGCCACTGAATTGAGGCCAGTGGAGGGATTGGCAGAGGGATGGAGGACACTGAATGAAGGCCAGTGAAGGGATTGGCAGAGGGATGGAGGACACTGAATGAAGGCCAGTGAAGGGATTGGCAGAGAGGGTGGAGGACACTGAATGAAGGCCAGTGAAGGGATTGGCAGAGGGATGGAGGACACTGAATGAAGGCCAGTGAAGGGATTGGCAGAGAGGGGTGGAGGACACTGAATGGAGGCCAGTGGAGGGATTGGCAGAGGGATGGAGGCCAGTGGAGGGATTGGCAGAGAGGTAGCAGACACTGAATGGAGGCCAGTGGTAATGTTCGATACACAATATCGATGCTTTCAATGCCCTATCACATTCTCTCTTGTAGGAAGTCGGACGTACAATACGGCCACTGATTTACGTTTGCCCTCTGGTGATGAGATATGTGACGGTTCTGGATTTTGTCTTACAGAGTGACCAGCAGCTGGACTGTGCCTTGGATTTGATGAGGCGACTCCCTCCCCAACAGATCGAGAAGAACCTCAGCGACCTCATCGATCTGGTAAGAGACGTCATCGCGCACCTTTTATATACAGTCCTCTCCTCCTGCTGCCTCCCTAGCAGCGATGGGAATACGGGACGAAGAGGATGGTCCTCATAGGACCGGGGCCCCTGTTTTACTTGTAGATTTATCGAACAACTTTTTTTACCTGCACGATTTCCATTCCCGAAGCCTCAGCTACACGCCGCTGTTCATCCAGCCCAGGAGGACAGGAGGTTCGCTTCCGTTGGACGCACACAGGTGGTTTTATGTGCGGTTCCCTTGATTGGGAGACAAGGCGTCACGAGTTGTCCCAGTCTGGGAATCCTCATTAGCAGAACCTCCTGATCCCCAGCTGCTGTTCTCGGCCCCATTAATTAGATCACATTAGGGGCCCTGCCAGTCACATGTCTTGTGATCCACACAGGCGCTCGCCCTGCAAACCGACAGGAAAAACCAGGACGCTCCTCCTGGATCTTAAAGCAAACCTGTCATAAAGTTCGGTCTGGCGTGCCGATGTCTATAATGATCTCCTATCCTGTCAGGGGCCCAGTACCCAGGGATCCTCTCGGGGGCCCCAGTACTTGGGGGGGGTCTTATGTGGGCAGTGCCGTTTGTCCCTCTCCTTCCCGGGGGGGGGGGGGGGGGGGGGTAGAGCTGGACTTTACTAGGTGAAGTTGATATTGCGTACTACAGCTCTCTGGGATTTTTATGACTTTGTACCTACCTTATGCCCACCTACCTATGACTCTGTCTATTACCTGCCTCTAAAGCCCTAGCTACTTACCTACATTGCCTTTTCTGCCAAATTATACCTGCCCCTCTATGACCTAGTTACCCACCTATACCTGCCCCTCTATGACCCTAGTTACCCACCTATACCTGCCCCTCTATGACCCTAGTTACCTACATACCTGCCCCTCTATGACCCTAGTTACCCACCCTATACCTGCCCCTCTATGACCCTAGTTACCCACCCTATACCTGCCCCTCTATGACCCTAGTTACCCACCTATACCTGCCCCTCTATGACCCTAGTTACCCACCTATACCTGCCCCTCTATGGTTCTGCCTAACAGTACTCGCCTCAACCTTTTGCAACCCTTTTCTACCTATACCTGCCTCTCTACCACCCTCCAACTGCCGATACTTGCCTCTACAGCCCTGTCTACCTACCTGTACCCTCCTCATTACAGCCCTGTCTACCTCCCTGTACCCTCCTCATACAGCCCTGTCTACCTACCTGTACCCTCCTCATTACAACCCTGTCTACCTGTACCCTCCTCATTACAACCCTGTCTACCTACCTGTACCCTCCTCATTACAGCCCTGTCTACCTGCTTGTCCCCTCCCTATTATTGCCCTGTCTACCTACCTGTACACTCATCATTACAACCCTGTATACCTACCTGTACACCCCTCATTTACTGCCCTGTCTGCCTACCTGTACCCTTCTCATAACAGCCCTGTCTACCTACCTGTACCCTTCTTATTATTGCCTATGACCCAGTCTTCCTATCTATCCACCTATACCTGCCTCTCTGTGACCCTATCTATATCCACCTATACCTGCCTCTCTATGACCCAGTCTTCCTATCTATCCACCTATACCTCCTCTCTATGATCCTATCTATCCACCTATACCTGCCTCTCTATGACCCAGTCTTCCTATCTATCCACCTATACCTGCCTCTCTATGACCCAGTCTTCCTATCTATCCATCTATACCTGCCTCTCTATGATCCTATCTATCTACCTATACCTGCCTCTCTATGATCCAGTCTTCCTATCTATCCCACCTATACCTGCCTCTCTATGATCCAGTCTTCCTATCTATCCACCTATACCTCCTCTCTATGATCCTATCTATCCACCTATACCTTCCTCTCTATGATCCAGTCTTCTAATATATCAGTCTATACCTGCCTGTATGACCCAGTCTTCCTATCTATACTTGTCTGTCTCCAGTCCTGTCTGCTGATATATACCTGCCTCTGTATAGTCTTGTCTACCTACCTGTACCTAGGTCTCCATCACCCAGCCAGCTTACCTAATTCCCTTACCTGCAGTCCTTTCACCTACCTGCTTGGCTCTGCATCCCCACAGATGCCCATAGAGGCGCCCATACTCTGACCTCTCTGTTACCAGTATTGCACAGCTGTCCTATAAACATGAGCGCCTGGCCCGATCTACTCTTGTGACCTCCATACTGTCCGCCTACGGATCTGCATTTTTCCGCGGTCATGTTGGCCCACCTGAACCAACATGGGAAGATGGCCGATCCCATCACACAATGGCCTCTGGTGTTCTCTTACTGCTGTGACTGCTCTTAAGCATGGTAGGAGGGGAGCGATAGAGAGGAATCAGAGGGCCGACACTGAAAAGTGATACACAGAGCCATGTTTTATCCTCCTCTCCACTTCCCACCTGTCAGCCCGTGACGGGCGCCGCTTTCATTCCCCTCTTGGTCCGCAGCCCAGGCGGCCATCTCTGGAGGGATCTGGTTTCTGCCAGGACAAAGGCTTCAGTCTTGTAGGGCCGGCGTACAAGCAGTTAACTTTAATTAAGTCGGTTCAGATAGGAGGGCAGGAGGGGGGCGGCAGGTCCAGGTATGACAAGAGGAACCTTGTTCAGCCGACAAGTATCCGAATCTCATTAACTTCTTTCAATTTGTCTTCTCTTTGTGTGCGACCCGCTTGAATGTCCCCCGAAGACTTGACTTATGTTTCATTGTTCCCGTCTCTTCCAATTCGTGGCCACGGCAAGCTCCGTTCTTACTTCCCCATCCTGACAGCGCTGATAGCCGATCTGTCTACACGGTAATGTCTGATCCCTACATCTTCTGCAGCCCACCCAGGCATTCCAGCTCCGATTGTATCCACAAAACGACAGATGTGAGAGAGCCCGGTGTTCTTCACTACACACCTGTACTAAATGGCAACCTCCATTGTCTGGTCCTGTTCTGTCCGGGAGATGAATACCACATCTACAAGAACGACATAGCAGAGCTTGAAACCGTTCAGAGAGAGCTGCTTTAACCCCTCGCCTACTGGGCAATTATACCCCCTCCCTGCCTCCCGGGCGCTTCTACCCCCTTCCTGCCTACCAGGCGCTTCTACCCCCTTCCTGCCCACCGGGCGCTTCTACCCCCTTCCTGCCCACCGGGCGCTTCTACCCCCTTCCTGCCTACCGGGCGCTTCTACCCCCCTTCCCTGCCTACCGGGCGCTTCTACCCCCTTCCTGCCCACCGGGCGCTTCTACCCCCTTCCTGCCCACCGGGCGCTTCTACCCCTTCCTGCCCACCGGGCGCTTCTACCCCCTTCCTGCCCACCGGGCGCTTCTACCCCCTTCCTGCCTACCGGGCGCTTCTACCCCCTTCCTGCCTACCGGGCGCTTCTACCCCCTTCCTGCCTACCGGGCGCTTCTACCCCTTCCTGCCTACCGGGCGCTTCTACCCCCTTCCTGCCTACCGGGCGCTTCTACCCCCTTCCTGCCTACCGGGCGCTTCTACCCCCTTCCTGCCTACCGGGCGCTTCTACCCCCTTCCTGCCTACCGGCCGCTTCTACCCCCTTCCTGCCTACCGGCCGCTTTTACCCCCTTCCTGCCTACCGGCCGCTTTTACCCCCTTCCTGCCTACCGGGCGCTTTTACCCCCCCTTCCTGCCTACCGGGCGTTTCTACCCCCCCTTCCTGCCTACCGGCGTTTCTCCCCCCCCTTCCTGCCTACCGGGCGTTTCTCCCCCCCCTTCCTGCCTACCGGGCGTTTCTCCCCCCCTTCCTGCCTACCGGGCGTTTCTTCTCCCCCCCCCCTTCCTGCCTACCGGGCGTTTCTCCCCCCCCTTCCTGCCTACCGGGCGTTTCCCCCTTCCTGCCTACCGGGCGCTTCCCCCCCCTTCCTGCCTACCGGGCGTTTCCCCCCCCCTTCCTGCCTACCGGGCGTTTCTCCCCCCCCTTCCTGCCTACCGGGCGTTTCTCCCCCCCCTTCCTGCCTACCGGGCGTTTCTCCCCCCCTTCCTGCCTACCGGGCGTTTCTACCCCCCCTTCCTGCCCACCGGGCTTTTTCCCCCCCCCTTCCTGCCCACCGGGTGCTTCTACCCCCCCTTCCTGCCCACCGAGCGCTTCTACCCCCCCTTCTTGTGCGCAGTGCTGGATCAAGATGGGGGCTCCGGTAAGGGGGGGGGGCGGGGCTGGGGGAGAAGCTGCACACAGGTTTTTTTTTTTTTTTCTACTGCATGAAGGTGAAAACCTTCAGCATTTACGACCACTTTAAGACCATTGGAAAGTGGTTTTGCACTTACATACTTGCATTATAAACACCCAACAGAAGGTGAAAACGGGAACGCCGGTTTGCTTTCCAAAAAGAAGTAACTCCACCATAAGCCCCCCCCCTATGTGTTTCGTCATCAAAGTGCAACCTCATCAGGGGCCAATGGCTTCCTCTGCTGTCTCTGAGCCTATGAGGAGGGAGAGAGCCCCTTCGCAGTGCTGGATCAAGATCGGGTTCAGGTAAGTATGGGGGGGTATGTTGAAGGGGGGGGGGGGGGGGGTCGGTGATGCCGGCCTTCACAACCCCTTTAACCCAGAACTCCGGTATCCACATCAGGTCAGTTTTGGGTGTTCTTTGCTGAGTTTTCATTACCAGAGCTGCATGGAGTTTTGCTAGAAACAAAATCACAATTCCATCTTGATTGTTCTTGCAGCGGGCGAAGGGTTAAGTGCGGCCCCCTCCTCTTCCCCACGCTGTGCTAATTAGTCCTCTGCCCCGGACCTACACAGGGAAGAGGAATGTGCGCCCAGCGCTGGCTCCAGTTAAACGCTCTGCATTCCTCTTTTATTTGGGAGCCGGAGGAAGTCGGCGGAGGACGCCTTTGATGTCTGTTTTGTTAGCTGCACCAGACCTGCCAGTCCTCCCGCTCCTCTTCTCTGCCTTCTAACTGGCCACAAGAATAAAATCACACACGTTTTATTCCTTTGGCAGGTTTTCTTTAATTGGTTCCTGGTGGAGATTCACTTTTTTGTTCTCGTCTTTGCCGTCACACGACTGTTTACTGTTGTGTTGGTGTGGATCGACGTCGGCCCCGCATCGGCATTGCCGCAGATGGCTTGATGGGCGCTTCACACTGAGGCCGGTGCAGTCTAGATATCCGGCCGCGTGTAAGGAGAAAATTTGTGTATAGAGCAGGGGCGGACTGACCATTTGGAAACTTGGGCACTGCCCGAGGGCCCGGGGTCAGTAGGGGGCCCCATGAGATGCCCCTGGCACCTTTTTCATAGGCTTTTTTTGAGTTTGGGCAAGGACACAGGGGCCCTATGATACCCTATTGCCCGGGGGCCCCATGAGTTGTCAGTCCGCCCCTGGTATAGATTGTTCTGTAGTTGAACTGCGAAATGTACAGCAGACTTTGCATGACAAATCAAGGACTTCTTACATCGGTCAGCCATAACATTCTGACCACTGACGGGTAAAGTGAAGAACGTGGATCTGGTTACTATGACATCTGAAAGTGGGTGGGATCTATTGGGCAGCAATGAACCTGTTGTCTCTGAGGTTGTTGTGATGAAAGCGGAAAAATTGGAGAAGTATAAGGATTTGAAGGACTTTGATGAGGACCAAATTGTTATGTCTAGACGACTGGGTCAGAGCAACTCCGAAACTACAGCTCTTCTAGAATGTTCCCGGTCTGCAGTGGTCAGGACCGAACAAAAGTGGTCCAAGGAAGGAGAACCCAGCGACAGGTTCATGGGCGGCCAAGGCCCATTGATGGAGGTGGGGAGGAAAGGCTCATTGATGGAGGTGGGGAGGGAAGGCTCATTGATGGAGGTGGGGAGGGAAGGCTCATTGATGGAGGTGGGGAAGGGAGGGAAGGCTCGTTGATGGAGGTGGAAGGGAGGGAAGGCTCGTTGATGGAGGTGGAAAGGGAGGGAAGGCCCGTTGATGGAGGTGGAAGGGAGGGAAGGCCCGTTGATGGAGGTGGAAGGGAGGGAAGGCCCGTTGATGGAGGTGGAAGGGAGGGAAGGCCATTGATGGATGTGGGAAGGGAGGGGGCTCCTTGATGGAGGGAGGGAAGGCTCATTGATGGATGTGGGAAGGCAGGGAGGGAGGGAAGGCTCATTGATGGATGGGGGAAGGGAGGGAAGGGAGGGAAGGCCCCTTGATGGAGGTGGGAAGGGAGGGAAGGCTCCTTGTTGATGGAGGTGGGAAGGGAGGGAAGGCTCATTGATGGAGGTGGGGGGGAGGGAGGGAGGGAAGGCTCATTGATGGAGGTGGGGAGGGAAGGCTCATTGATGGAGGTGGAAGGGAGGGAAGGCCCGTTGATGGAGGTGGGGAGGGAGGGAAGGCCCGTTGATGGAGGTGGGGAGGGAAGGAGGGAAGGCTCATTGATGGAGGTGGGGAGGGAAGGCTCATTGATGGAGGGGGGAGGGAGGGAAGGCTCGTTGATGGAGGTGGGGAGGGAGGGAAGGCCCATTGATGGAGGTGGGGAGGGAGGGAAGGCCCGTTGATGGAGGTGGGAAGGGAGGGAAGGCCCTTGATGGAGGTGGGAAGGGAGGGAAGGCTCGTTGATGAGGTGGGGGGGAGGGAAGGCTCATTGATGGAGGTGGGGAGGGAGGGAAGGCTCATTGATGGAGGTGGGGAGGGAGGGAAGGCTCATTGATGGAGGTGGGGAGGGAGGGAAGGCTCATTGATGGAGGTGGGAAGGGAGGGAAGGCTCATTGATGGAGGTGGGGAGGGAGGGAAGGCTCATTGATGGAGGTGGGAAGGGAGGGAAGGCTCCTTGATGGAGGTGGGGAGGGAGGGAAGGCTCCTTGATGGAGGTGGGGAGGGAGGGAAGGCCCATTGATGGAGGTGGGAAGGGAGGGAAGGCTCATTGATGGAGGCGGGGAGGGAGGGAAGGCTCATTGATGGAGGTGGAGAGGGAGGGAAGGCCATTGATGGAGGTGGGAAGGGAGGGAAGGCTCATTGATGGAGGCGGGAAGGGAGGGAAGGCCCATTGATGGAGGCGGAAGGGAGGGAAGGCCCATTGATGGAGGCGGAAGGGAGGGAAGGCCCATTGATGGAGGCGGAAGGGAGGGAAGGCCCATTGATGGAGGAGGAAGGGAGGGAAGGCCCATTGATGGAGGCGGAAGGGAGGGAAGGCCCATTGATGGAGGCGGAAGGGAGGGAAGGCCCATTGATGGAGGCGGAAGGGAGGGAAGGCCCATTGATGGAGGCGGAAGGGAGGGAAGGCCCATTGATGGAGGCGGGGAGGGAGGGAAGGCCCATTGATGGAGGTGGGGAGGGAAGGCTGGTCTGTGTCGTCTGGTCCAATAGAAGAGCTACTGGAGCTCATTTTGCTGAAATAGTGAGTGCCGGTTCTGATAGGAAGGTGTCGGAACACACAGAGCATCGCAGTTTGTTGTGTAGCTGCAGAGCGGTCAGGGTGTCCATGCTGACCTGTGACCACAGCCATAAGTGCCTACAATGGGCACGTGAACATCAGAACTGGATCAATGGAAGAAGGTGGCCCGGTCTGATGAATTAAAGAATGGTTTGAGGAACACAACAATGGGTTTGAGTTCTTAACTTGGCCTCTAAATTCTTCAGATCTCAAGCCAATTGAGCATTTGCGGAATGTTCTGGAAAACAAGGCCAATTCATGGGGGCCCCACCTCCCAACTTACAGGACATAAAAGATCTACTGATGGCTTGCTGCCAGATACCACAGCATACCATCAGAGGTCTACTGGAGTCCATGCCTCAGCGGGTTATGGTGGGTGGTCATAATGTAATGGCTGATTGGTGTACTAGGCAGCTCCAAACCTCAGATTATAAAATGTGAGAACCAAAAGAAAAAAAGAATCATAAATAAAAGTACCAAACACCTTAGAACCTGACCTTGCAGGGCCTTCTCCTGGGTCCTGGTAAAATCAAGGCACTCAAATCTCACAAGAAGAGGTTAGAAAGGCCCATGGGGGCATTTACACTGGGTAATGCCTGCCTTCCCTCCTCTAGTGCGTTTTCCTGTTTTTGTTTTTTTTGTTTTTATTTTTTTTTTTTTTGCTGCCTAGGCCTGAGCAGTGAATCCTGGGAGTCAAGGGAGAAGGTCACATGCTCCTCCATGCCAGGAGGTACTGGGTGTTTCTGAGGGATCCGACAAATGGATGGTCCATCAGTGGAGATGGGCAAACTTAAAGTGGTTGTAAACCTTCCATACGCCCATTGAAGTGACCGGCCTCAGGTGATACACAGAGATGAAACAAATCCACCTGCCGAAGTTGTACCTGTTTATCTGTAGCCCTCTCTTCTCTACAGCCGTTCAAAGAGCTGAAGTTATAAAGCTTGTCTGAGAGTTCAGAACAAAAAGGGTGTGGAGAGCTGTAGTTACACACTGCAGAGTTGATTGGAGGGAAGGGACCCCCCCCCCCCCTTCACAAAGCTGAGGCTGTCAATCACAGGCTGTGCCCTCCCCTGTCACCATTTATCTCTTGGTGTCATGAGAACTTGTCAGAAGGGGTTCATGCTGATAGCAGACAGGAATGACATTTGGTGCTCTGGATTGAGACCAGTACACTGAGACAGAGTATGTTTTATACTGGACTTCTTCTAAAGGAGACGCGTTCCGCTGACGGGGAGATGTGAAATCTCTTTATTGCCGGTTTGCATCTCAGTCTTACTTGAACCCTTTGACATCTGCAGTCCTGAGAGGGGGGGTCCTGGCTTGGTGACCCCAACATAGAAGATAATGAACAATGCAAGGGGCGCCATGTTCCACCCTCGGTCTAAGTTACCAAAGTGGCCGGAAGAATGTTGGCCCAGTGCATTGTGGGAGAGGAAAGGAGTGTTGTGACAATGAGGTCTCCTCTCTTCTCCAGGTACCCAATCTGTGTGAAGACCTCCTGTCCTCCGTGGATCAGCCGCTAAAGATTGCTCGGGACAAGGTGGTGGGGAAGGACTACTTACTGTGCGACTACAACAGAGATGGCGATTCCTACAGGTAACCTGTCTGTATTGTATGTATGATATACTGTGTAATAGGAGGGGGTGATGTCACTCTGTATAATATATCTTATATCTGGAGGGCGGTGATGTCACTCTGTATAATATATATTATATCTGGAGAGCGGTGATGTCACTCTGTATAATATATCTTATATCCGGAGGGCGGTGATGTCACTCTGTATAAATATATCTTATATCTGGAGAGCGGTGATGTCACTCTGTATAATATATCTTATATCTGGAGGGCGGTGATGTCACTCTGTATGTCACTCTGTATAATATATCTTATATCTGGAGGGCGGTGATGTCATCTCTGTAGGGCGGTAATATATCTTATATCTGGAGGGCGGTGATGTCACTCTGTATAATATATCTTATATACTGGAGGGCGGTGATGTCACTCTGTATAATATATCTTATATATCTGGAGGGCGGTGATGTCACTCTGTACTCTGTATAATATCTATCTTATATCCGGAGGGCGGTGATGTCACTCTGTATAATATATCTTATATCTGGAGGGCGGTGATGTCACTCTGTATAATATATCTTATATCTGGAGGGCGGTGATGTCACTCCTGTATAATAATATCTTATATCTGGAGGGCGGTGATGTCACTCTGTATAATATATATCTTATATCTGGAGGGCGGTGATGTCACTCTGTATAATATATCTTATATCTGGAGGGCGGTGATGTCACTCTGTATATATATATCTTATATCCGGAGGGCGGTGATGTCACTCCTGTATAATATATCTTTATATCTGGAGGGCGGTGATGTCACTCTGTATAATATATCTTATATCTGGAGGGCGGTGATGTCACTCTGTATAATATATCTTATATCTTATATCTGGAGGGCGGTGATGTCACTCTGTATAATATATCTTATATTATATCACTGGAGGGCGGTGATGTCACTCCTGTATAATATATCTTATATATCTGGAGGGCGGTGATGTCACTCTGTATAATATATCTTATATCTGGAGGGCGGTGTGATGTCACTCACTGTATAATATATCTTATATCTGGAGAGCGGTGATGTCACTCCTGTATAATATATCTTATATCTGGAGGGCGGTGATGTCACTCTGTATAATATATCTTGTATCCGGAGAGCGGTGATGTCACTCTGTATAATATCTGGAGGAGCGGTCTTGTATATCCGGAGGGCGGTGATGTCACTCTGTATAATATATCTTATATCTGGAGGACGGTGATGTCACTCTGTATAATATATCTTATATCTGGAGAGGCGGTGATGTCACTCTCTGTATAATATATCTTATATCTGGAGAGCGGTGATGTCACTCCTGTATAATATATCTTATATCCGGAGGGCGGTGATGATGTCACTCCTGTATATATATATCTCTTGTATCCGGAGAGCGGTGATGTCACTCCTGTATATTATATCTTGTATCCGGAGAGAGCAGTATCCTCGATCTAGTATACATTATATATCTGAAGATGACTTAGTCTTTCCTGTACACTAGAACCTGATCTGGGACTGCCAGCCGCGGCCGGTCCTCAGGAAGTCCCATCGGTGCGGTTGCTATGGGTTGCAGGTTCTGTTTGTTCTGCTGGCACCACACATTAGAATCAGGCAGTAAAAATCCAATCCCTTCATTGTGAGCTCATAACTCCCCCACATCCCATCATCCCGCTATGTAATGTGCGGACGTCTCTCTTCCTGGCTCCGAGCCGCGGAGACAAAGCAGATCCCCGGGGAGATCACAATCATCTCCTGAACATCTTCCAAACATCAAAGAGAGACCCAAAAAACACATCCCCTAAAACCCGGCAGGAAACCCGACCTGCTGCGACCTGACATTTTCATCACCTCGAATGATCTCTAACTGCATTCCTCCTCCTCTTCCATCCTGCCAGGTCACCGTGGAGCAATAAGTACGACCCGCCCTTGGAAGATGGAGCCATGCCGTCCGCTCGTCTACGCAAGCTGGAGATCGAGGCCAACAATGCCTTCGACCAGTACCGGGACCTGTACGTTCTCCAGATCTGCATCCCTCCTCTTGTCCTCTTTCACGTTTGTTACTCTTTCCTCTTCTTTTTCATTTTCTCTCTCTTTACTTTTTTTCTCCATTTTTTTCTTTTATCCCCCCCCACCTCTGTCTAGGACAGGAGATGTATCTAGAAGTGGGGGGGGGGGGGGGGGGTCTCCTGGAACAGCTGCATGGTCTGTGTTTTATAAAAGCGGGAGCTTGGTGTGTGGGATGGGGATGATTAAATCCAGACTCCTTTGTTTTGGGCCCCGGCACTAGGGCAACCTAGAACGAAAATCCCAACACGCAGCACAGGCCGAGTGATGTCATTATGAGGTCATCGTTGTCACTGAGGAGTGCCGCCACTGCGTCACGCACGGTCTATAGCCGCACACCTCTTTACTGGTGACCCTATTCCCCCCCCAGTTCTTGGTTCGTAAGGCAGAGCAGTGTTGGTTGGGCCCTCAGGAGCCAGACCCTGTTATGTAGCAAGCTAGATGACTTGATGGCAATTTCCATACAAGCTGGGATCTGAGAATGAGGAACACATCCCAGCCATATACATCTTCTGTCTGATAGTGATGTAGTAACAAAGTGTGTGTGTGTGTATATATATATATATATATATACACTCTCATTGATCTCCAAACAGATTACGGCCCTTTGTTTGCCTTTATCTGGCCCTTGGCACTACTCCTTCCCACTGACACCAATGATGGGGCACTATTCCTCCCACTGACACCAATAATGGGACATTATTCCTCCCACTGACACCAATGATGGGGCACTATTCCTCCCACTGACACCAATGATGGGGCACTATTCCTCCCACTGATAATCCAATGATGGGGCACTATTCCTACCACTGATACCAATGATGGGACACTATTCCTCCCACTGACACCAATGATGGGGCACTATTCCTACCACTGATACCAATGATGGGACACTATTCCTCCCACTGATACCAATGATGGAGCTCTATTCCTCCCACTGACACCAATGATGGGGCACTATTCCTCCCACTGATACCAATGATGGGGCACTATTCCTCCCACTGACACCAGTGATGGGGCACTATTCCTCCCACTGACACCAGTGATGGGGCACTATTCCTCCCACTGACACCAATGATGGGACATTATTCCTCCCACTGACACCAATGATGGGGCACTATTCCTCCCACTGATACCAATGATGGGGCACTATTCCTCCCACTGATACCAATGATGGGGCACTATTCCTACCACTGATACCAATGATGGGACACTATTCCTCCCACTGATACCAATGATGGGGCACTATTCCTCCCACTGACACCAATGATGGGACACTATTCCTACCACTGATACCAATGATGGGACACTATTCCTCCCACTGATACCAATGATGGAGCTCTATTCCTCCCACTGACACCAATGATGGGGCACTATTCCTCCCACTGACACCAGTGATGGGGCACTATTCCTCCCACTGACACCAGTGATGGGGCACTATTCCTCCCACTGACACCAGTGATGGGGCACTATTCCTCCCACTGATACCAATGATGGGGCACTATTCCTACCACTGAGACCAATGATGGGACACTATTCCTCCCACTGATACCAATGATGGGGCACTATTCCTCCCACTGACACCAATGATGGGGCACTATTCCTCTTACTGATACCAATGATGGGACACTATTCCTCCCACTGACACCAATGATGGGGCACTATTCCTCCCACTGACACCAATGATGGGGCACTATTCCTCCTACTGACACCAATGATGGGGCACTATTCCTCCCACTGATACCAATGATGGAGCTCTATTCCTCCCACTGATACCAATGATTGGGCACTATTCCTCCCACTGAAACCAATGATGGGGCACTATTCCTCCCATTGATACCAATGATGGGGCGCTATTCCTCCCACTGACACCAATCTTGGGGCGCTATTCCTCCCAACTGGTAAGAGGCACTATTTCTCAAAATGAATCCAGCAATTTGGCACTATTCCTCCCACTGATGCCAATGATGGGACACTATTCCTCCCACCGACGCCAATGATGGGGCACTATTCCTCCCACTGACACCAATGACGGGGCACTATTCCTCCCACTGACACCAATGATGGGGCACTATTCCTCCCACTGACACCAATGATGGGGCACTATTCCTCCCACTGACACCAATGATGGGGCACTATTCCTCCCACTGATACCAATGATGGGGCACTATTCCTCCCACTGACACCAACGATGGGGCACTATTCCTCCACTGACACCAGTGATGGGGCACTATTCCTCCCACTGATACCAATGATGGGGCACTATTCCTCCCACTGACACCAATGATGGGGCACTATTCCTCCCACTGACACCAATGATGGGGCACTATTCCTCCCACTGAGACCAATGATGGGACACTATTCCTCCCACTGATACCAATGATGGGGCACTATTCCTCCCACTGACACCAATGATGGGGCACTATTCCTCCCACTGATACCAATGATGGGACACTATTCCTCCCACTGACACCAATGATGGGGCACTATTCCTCCCAATGACACCAATGATGCGGCACTATTCCTCCCAATGACTCCATTGATGGGGCAGCCTAACCCCCCTAAAGTCTGAAAAAACTGGTCCTTTGTTTGGAAAGGTTGGAGACCCCTGATATACATCAATATCTGTTTGTCTATATATACGTGTGTATATATGTATGTGTGTGTGTGTATATAATATATATATATATACACACACACACACACATTTTAGCTTGCTGTTAGCTTTTTAGAAAGAATTTGGAATTGCTCATTGGGCTCATGCACAAGGGCGTCCTATTCAGAAGAGCCTTCCAATTGGTGTGACTGTATAGAGGGGAGATGAGTGCTGCACATCTCAGGTCTGGTGCTTTCTATACACGTGCAGGGTCCCCTGTGCCCAGGCTGCAGACAGTACAGAGGATGGGCTCGGTGTGAGCTGAGGACAGCTCATCCTCTACTCCTCTTACAACCTTGTAATGTGCAGATGTTTGCTGGGCCGCCTGCAGCGGGTGTGGGCTCGCCTCCACTGGCTCAGTGACACCGCACCTGTGTGCCGCCTGCGCAGAACCCGATACCTCCTTCCTCTCTCCAGTACCTGTTAGCAGGGGCCCGGTGCCATCTTACGCTGTGCCAACTATTCTGCAGTCGCTGTCTTCATGGAAGTTGCCAGGAACTGCTGACATTTTGGAGGATCGGTTACTTTTCTGTTTCGGCACTACAAATCACAGCACAGCTATTTTTTTTTTACTCATTTCCACCTCCTCCGCTGCCTCTGCAGCTCAGGTCCCAGGAACAGCAAAGGCAAGAAACTCGCCATGGTCAGATCTATGTGATTTCCACAATACGTAGCTGCCTGTGACTTGTCCCCAGAGGTCAGGCTTCCATAGACCTGAGAGAATTGATCTGGTGTCTGTAGGTGATCCCAGATGCCATTGTCTGCTGTTGGGGAAATGAGTGATCAGGTCTGATCTCTCCACTTCCAGCTTCAGCTCTTCTCCCAGCGTACAAAACAAACATTCTACAGGTAAGAAAGGCCCTCAAGTCCAAATGCAGGCCCGGAGCAGGTTCCCCTTCAGTCTCGTTGAACCGGGGATATAGACAACCGCCACGGGGAACCTCAACACCACATCGACCTTGTTGCCCACTTCAGATCGATAAAAAAGATACTAAAACAATAGAAGGTGGCGGCTCACTGACCTAGTGAATTATCATAAGAACCTTTACTGATAAAACCAAATTCCAATGTACTCAAAAAAGTACACGATTGAGAAAATATATCATAATCCAGTCCCGATTCTGGAACAGTGTCTGGAGTAGCTTACACATTTCGAGGGTGATCCCCTCTTCTTCAGAACTCTGATGAAGAGGGCATCGCCCTTGAAACCCGTAAGATACGCCCCTGTGGATGGACACGATTCCAGTATTGGGACTGGATTATGATATATGTACTCTATCGTGTACTTTTGTGAGTACATTGGAGTTTGGTTTTATCAATGGAGTATATATAATCCAGTCCCAATACTGGAATCGTGTCCATCCACATGGGTGTATTTTTCGGGTTTCAAGGGCGATGCTCTCTTCATCGGAGCTCTGAAGAAGAGGGGATCGCCCTCGAAATGTGTAAGCTACTCCAGACACTGTTCCAGAATTGGGACTGGATTATGATATATGTACTCTAGTGATAAAACCAAATTCCAATGTACTCAAAAAAGTACACGATTGAGAAAATATATGATAATCCAGTCCCGATTCTGGAACAGTGACTGGAGTAGCTTACACATTTCGAGGACGATCCCCTCTTCTTCAGAGCTCCGATGAAGAGGGCATCGCCCTTGAAAACCGTAAGATACACCCATGTGGATGGAAACAATTCCAGTATTGGGACTGGATTATATATACTCCATTGATAAAACCAAATTCCAATGTACTCACAAAAGTACACGATAGAGTACATATATCATAATCCATTCCCAATACTGGAATCGTTTCCATCCACATGGGCGTATCTTACGGGTTTCAAGGGCGATGCCCTCTTCATCGGAGCTCTGAAGAAGATGGGATCACCCTTGAAATGTGTAAGCTACTCCAGACACTGTTCCAGAATCGGGACTGGATTATGATATATTTTCTCAATCGTGTACTTTTTTGATTACATTGGAATTTGGTTTTATCAATAGAGTACACATATCATAATCCAGTCCCGATTCTGGAACAGTGTCTGGAGTAGCTTACACATTTCGAGGGTGATCCCCTCTTCTTCAGAGCTCTGATGAAGAGGGCATCGCCCTTGAAACCCATAAGATACACCCCATGTGGATGGACACGATTCCAGTATTGGGACTGGATTATGATATATGTACTCCATTGATAAAAAAAAAACAAATTCCAATGTACTCACAAAAGTACACGATAAATAAAGTACATATATCATAATCCAGTCCCAATACTGGAATCGTGTCCATCC